CTTTCTTTCTTTCTTTCTTTCTTTCTTTCTTTCTTTCTCTCTTTCTTTCTTTCTTTCTTTTTTAAGACAAGGTCTCTGGCTGTCCTGGAACTCAGTATGTAGACCATACTGGCCTGGCCTCGAATTCACAGAGATCCTCTCTGCCTCTTAAGTGCAAGGGATTAAAGGTGATTGCCACCACACCCCACCTGTCTTAGAATTTGAACCCAGATCATCTACAAGAGAGAGAATGGGAGCATCACCCAGGAAAGGAGGCGGGCACCCAAGGTCGGAAGCTCAAGACGGCCATGCAGTAGATACACCCTACAAAGAGTTAGAGACGTGAAACTCTAAAGCCCATGCCCTTTTCCCTTTCACGGGAGACTTGTAAACCAAAGGAGGAAATTTACAGAGAGAGCAGCAGGAGCCAGAGTGCCAAGTAGTGTGGCGGTCAACTCAGGTGAGAAGCAGGAAGTGGCCATTAGGTGGTGTGGTCTCCTGAACTGTGTCAGGGACACTGTTCTGGGACCCAGGAGCAAAAGGAAAAACTGGGCATAGCTGGATGAGGAGGGGGAGCGTTGGCATGAAGATGAAGAGGATTGCCCACCACCACCACTCAGGGGGATGCCGAAGGAAGGGCTAGGGCAAGCTGCAGCAAATGCACTGTGGTGGGAGCAGCTGGGGAAACTGAGGAAAGCCAGGAGGACCCAGAGAATAAACCAGTATAGAACTCCGGGGGGTCGGGCAGGGAAGGACCCGGTAGTCATACTACCCACTTCAGAGTCAAATTCCTACAGAATATGATGGCATTGTGAGGTGCTGGGTATGACGGAAGAGGAAGTGTGTTCACAGGTATTCAGTTAAGGAAGATGAAAAGACTGGGGCTGGAGAGATGGCTCAGGGGTTAAGCTGTTCTTACCATGGTCCCAGGTTTGCTTCCCAGCACCTATATAGCAGCTCACAATCATCCCAGAGGATCTGATGCCTCTTCTCAACACCCCCCCCAAGCACCATACACACAGTACAAATACACACACTCAGGCACGCGTCTATATACATAAATATATTTTTTTAATTATGTGCATCGGTGGTGGTAATGGTTATAAGATACAAATGACTTAAAATGAGCCAAACAGACGGGCTCAACACACTCGGTTCGCACGCCATCCTATGTTAAGTTTTGAATCTTAAGGCCCCAGCCTTGAATAATAAAGGAAACACTTCCAGACTACAGGCTTAGATCAAAACGATGCGGAGGAAAGAGCTGTGACTACAGGTCTCTGTGTCCTGCTGGCAGAAAGACACGTCGGCCATTCCCAGCACAGCTCCCCAGAGAGCCTGACACAGAGCTGCTCTTGTACCAGTACTGAAAGCATCCCTGAGGGGAACATACCCCACACGGGGAGAATCACTCCGCTCTGTTGGTTGGGAGAGTCTGGAGACATAGAGGGGACTCTGATGACCAACTGTGACTGTTCCCACTGTTTCAATAGATCACCGTGTTACCCAAGAGGACACATTGCCCAACTCCCTTATGTCCTCACTCTGAGGAAACAGAGACTCAGAGAAATAAAGCTAGTCGCTCAGAGTCAACCTGCAGGTAAAAGTAGGGGTGTCATGTCTGTCCCCAGCAGGATGCTCCCCAAGGTAGACTCCCCTGACACCTTGTTCCGTCAACTCACAAGTGGAACGATCTTGGCAAAACTCTTGTCCAGCCTAGTGGCAGGACGACAGCTCGCTGCCTTCTCACCTCACAAGGCAGCTGTGAGGATCAGGAAGGGAATGCCGAGGACTGGCTTTGTTCCCTTAAGATAGTAAGGCTCAGGCTCCAGGGTGGTTTGGCAGGAAAGTGCTTATCTGGCATGCATGAGGCCCAAGGTTCAGTCTCCAGCACTAATAAGAAGTTAAGGGGCAGGGATGTGGCTCAGCTGGAGACTACTCGCCAGTCATGCATGAAGGCCCAAGTTCAACCTACAGCCCTGCACACACTGACGGTGGCTCTAATCCCAGAATTCAGGAGATGGAGGCAAGAGGGTCAGATTTACAGGTCATCCTCAGCTACAAAGAGACTCTGAGAGGAGCCTGGGCTACCTGAGTGAGTGAGTGAGTGAGTGAGTGAGTGAGTGAGTGAGTGAGTGAGTGAGTTAGTTGGCTGTCCTGAAACTCACTCTGTAGACCAGGCTGCCCTCCAACTCACAGAGATCCACCTGCCTCTGCCTTCCAAGTGCTGGGATTAAAGATGTGCGCCACTATGTCTGGTACATTATCTTTGGACTTACTGGAATTAAAATAACTTTGCTTGCCTTCCAGGCGGTGGTGCCCAGCACTCCGGGAGGCTGAGGTGGGCAGATCTCTGTGAGTTCGAGGCCAGCTTGGTCTACAAAGTTAGTTCCAGGACAACCTTTGCTATACAGAGAAACCCTGTCTCAAAAAACCAAAATAATAGTAATAATAACAATAACAATGTAAAGAAAAGAACTTTGCTCCGATGGGCTGGGAAGGTGACTCAATGGTTATTGTTCTTCCAGAGAACCTGTGTTCAGTCCCCAGCATCCACATCAGGGGATATGGCACCTTTTTCTGACTTTCCTCTGAGACAAGCAAAGCCAAGGGCTTGTTGGCTACCTTGTATGTCTAGTCCTTGGACCTGAAAGCCAAAGACTCTCGGCAGGGACTGGGGAAGAACTCGTCCACTCACTCATTCCAGGTATTCAAAAACTAAGTGATTCTAGTCCTAGAACTCTATGGAGATGAGTAGGACATGGTCCTGCCTTTAAGATCCTTACAGGCGGGTCTGGGGAGATCGCTTGGCTGTAAAGAGCACTCTCGGCTCTTCTAAAGGACCAGAGTTCTGTTCCTAGCGTCCACATGGTGGCTTCTGACTGTAACTCTAGTCCTAAGGGACCTGGCACCCTCTTCAGGCCACCCTGGCACAAGGCACACAAGCAGTGCACATACATACACTCAGGAAAGATACTTATGCACACAAAATGCAAACAAATAAAACTTTTCTTTTCTTTTTTCTTTTCTTTCTTTCTTTTTTTTTTTTTTTAAAGTAAAGATGGTTACAGCCTGCAGACACAGACAAAACTGTAATGTGGTGATGTCTATAATGAAGAGAGGCCCTGGATCCTGGGAGCTGCCTAGCACGGGGTGGTGGGTGTGGGAGAGCATCAAAGTACCTAAGAGGTGCTAGGCATGGTGGCACGTACCTTTAATCCCAGCACTCAGGGGACAGAGGTAAAGAGATCTCTGTGAGTTCGAAGCCAGCCTAATCTACCTAGAGAGTTCCAAGACGGCCAGGGCCATCCAATGAGCTCCTGTTTCAAAAACCAAGAACCCTAAGGTGGTTGCCAGAGAATGAGGGCTTTCTAAGGGGCGCCCTGAACGCTGTGCTCAAACCAGTCAGGTCCCTTGCATGCGTGGAGGACTTCAATGGGACAGTGGAGAGAATGGGTAAGGAATGATGCTGGGAATGCCAGGGCAGACTCGCTGGTCCTCCTCACACCCTAGACACACACACACACACACACACACACACACACACTGCCAAGGCAGACTCTCTGGTCCTCCTCACACCACACACAAACCCTACACACACACCCTACACACACACACCCTATACACACACACACACACACACACACACCCTCTCACACACACAATGCCAAGGCAGACTCTCTGGTCCTACACCACACACACACACACACACACACACACACACACACACACACACACCATCCTCTTCTGGGCAACCACTTTGACCTTCACAGCCGCGTGCTCCCTTAACTTCCCTCTGAGATCGCGTTCCCCTGAACTCTCCTCCTGCTGTCCCCTCACCAGCTCCCCCCATCTCGCTCAGGTCCCAGCCCATGGGCCAGCGTGCGATGTCCCCGAGAGTAAACCCTGAGCTCAGACCCCTTTCTTTGACCAGGTATGTGGCGCCCCCTGCTGGAAGGCCCCATCCGACCCTGAAGTTAGGATTTCAAGGCCCTGGCGGTGGAGCGCTAGGTAAGAAAGGCACGGAAAAGGTGGGGAGACCCGGAAAAACCAAGAGTGGAAAGGAAAGCGCAGGGCTGGAGGGCTGACATTCCCTGAGATGGTCAGGGGAGGTTGACTGGAGTCCTGAGAAGGCTCTCTGGGGGCCTGGAGGCAAAGGAAGTCATGGCCCCTAATGAGCCTTTCTTTCTTTTTTTTAAGATTTATTTATTATGTATACTGTATTCTGCCTACATGTACACCTGCAGGCCAGAAGAGGGCGCCAGATCTCATTACAGATGGTTGTGAGCCACCATGTGGTTGCTGGGAATTGAACTCAGGACCTCTGGAAGAGCAGCCAGTGCTCTCAACCTCTGAGCCATCTCTCCAGCCCCCCCTTAATGATTCTTTCTGTCTCCAAACTACTGTGCCTCCACGACCACCGCTACAGCCCCTAACACAAACTCTGGATCCCGTCTCCCAGCCCCCAGCTTCTCGTAGAGAAGCTGGAAAAGTTAGCAGGGTCTGCCCAGGGACCCAGGCAAGGTAAGCATAGGGCGTGGAGAACATGATATGGAAAGGGGCAATAATTATACAGTAAGGGCTTCCCGGGGGCCGTGGGGCTCGTGGGCAGAGGCCGTGGAAGGATCCACTCCTTCAACATACCACCTCGGCCACAAAACGCCTCTCCACATCCCCAGAGGCCCATACTTCAAGGGCAAGGGAGTAGGGAGCTAGGCCTCCGGGGACGCCCTCTCCCGTGAGCTACAATTCAACCATGCCATCCCTCCTCACCCACCCCAAGAAAGCCAAGTGCCAAGGAACAAAACCATTAACACCACCACCCCCAATAAAGCCTTTGAGGGCAAAAAGTGAGAGGAGACAGACGTAGGGAATCCTGTTAACCACCATGCCCTGACCTCGCCTAACCTCAGAAGCTGACGGGGTAGACCCTGGGTAGCACTTGGATGGAAAGATCGGGGGGTAAAGTCTCTCAAAGGAGGCAGCTCAAGGCGGGGAGAGGTGCTGCTGCCGGGCTGGGAAGCAGAATAGTCCTCAATCCCCACAGCAGCCCCTCTGAGCACAGCCTTGGCCTCGAACACAGGGCTGGGAAGCAGAATAGTCCTCAATCCCCGCAGCAGGCCCTCTGAGCACAGCCTTGGCCTCG